GAACATTACTTACATCTACAATTTCTGATTTCCTAGATTGCCCTTTTGTGTACTTTTATGAAAAGAGACAATATTTCAATAGAAAATATATTTTTCTAAACTTTTGTTTTGTTTCTAACACATCTGCTTTCTTTTAATATATTCTGGTTTACTCTGACTTCTTTCTTTTATTACCAACTACTATAGTTCCTCTACTCATTTTTCCTTGTTTAATAATTACATTCTTTATTATATTATTTTTATACATTTACTTTTTCCAGTTGTGCTTCTCTCATTCATCTGCTCTCATCATTCCATATTGTTTTTGTTAGTCTCATTTTTTTTCTATCACATATTCTTCCTTTAAAGTCATATATTTTATGCTTAAAATGTATCACAATATAAAAATAATACATTTTCATCAATAAACTACAGTCAGAGTTAATTTCACATCACATATTTCAACTGAAATTATTCCAGATCATCACAATGAATCAGCATACAATCATATGTCTGTAAATTTAAACACTTCAACATTAGTTTGGGATTGCCCCATAAAACATAGTATCAGACTATTATGAACTGTGCAATTTTGTTAAGCATTTGAGCAAACGGATTTGGTCTCTCACAGGAAAAGTCACAGAAAATAAATCCTACTTGCCCTTCTTAGAAATTATGTAGTAAAAAGCAAGTGACTCAAAACATGCAACTCAGAGAATATTTAACTTTATTAAATATAACTATACAGGAGAATTCAGTGTATGGCTGTGATATAATGTTTAAAAAACTTCATTTTTTTCTTGTTTCTACATTTTAATGACGAGTAAATTAAGACCTTATTTCACAAGAACTAAGGCTTAAAATATACCACGTTTAACTTAACCTCAGCATGTTTTATTAGAGGAAATTAATTTAGGTTGCTCTGCTGAACTCAAAGCGAATACTGAAAAATGCAAGTAGCTTGTTGCATATGAAAATAACTAATTGCACTGCCCTATGCTGAATGGGGATATAGCTATAATAATACTGACATTGTAACTGTTACACAACTTAAACATAGTGGAACAAAAATTTTCTAAAAAGCTAGCAAACATTCTACTCATGATATTATTACATATAAAAAGCAAATGTTAACAATATTTAAATATTCTAAATTCTAGCTCAAAGTACTATAACTCCAAAATTAACATGCCAATAGAAAAAAAATGAATTTAAGGAGAAAGAGTTGAATAATAGGCTTTTTTGAAGTTTAAAGAACAAATAACAAATTATTTGGATATGCTTTTTTATTTTAAAACATATTTTTCAGAATGTGCTTCTATCAGAGAAGCAGTATACTTCTGCATACCAGTGAAACAACTAATATTCACCAGTGGGTATAAAATAGAAATAGGGGTTTTTTCAGACACTCATGATAAAATTCTACAGTAAAGAGATGCCCCTGGAGAAAAGGCAGCATTCTTGGACATCACTAGAACTGATTTCATTCAATGTACGATTAAAAGACTTCCAACTCAAATGGATCATCATGATTGCCAGTAGACTTTCAAAAGGTATAATCAATAATGTTCAACACCTCTGTCTTTGACTTTAAAAACAGCCCCTAAGATAAGGCAGCAGTACATGCCTTGTACTTAACAAGGTCATGAGTTCAGTTCCAGAATAAAAAAATTAAAAAAAAAAAAAAAAAAAACAGTGAATGGATTCAATTCTACAGTGATTAACAACAGACATCACTGAGAATTACCTTTAGTTCTCCTGCAACTAAAATTAAAAGCAGCCCCTAAGAAAGAGTTCTCAATGAAAAATTATAACATTGGGAGATGAGAAGATGCTAGATATGGAGTTTACCTCAGTGCTCTGAGATTTTAATAAGTTATTTAGCTCTTTTAGTATAATAAAAAAAGAGGCCCATGCTTAAAGCTGATAAAACATATTAAATGCTACCCTAATAATAGAAAACATCAATTATCTGACATATCAAACATGATATACAGCTAAATGCAAATTGATTTATCAGTTAATTTCTCTTCTATAAAGATATAAGTATCTCACTGTAGACACTACATTCTAATCACACTGTTAGAAACATAGGTATGGCAGCTAGGAATACTATTATGATTAATTCTGATTTTATTTTCCTATGTATGACACTTTTATCAAAGATTACATTATAAAGTTCCAATTTTTAATATGTTCATTTGAATAAAGAATGGTTTATAATTATGGCTTTTTATCTTTTAAATAAATATGCTTTCTTATGCAAAAGGAAGAATATGGACACTACCTCACTCCATGGACAAAAGTAATTCATGAAGTTTCAAAAATGTAAATATAAGAACCAAAATTATAACATTCTCAGGAAAAAAAAAGTGACCTAAATAACCTTGAATTTTTCAGATATGACTCCAAAAGCACAATCAAACATAAAAAAAACTATTCTTCACCAAAATTGCAAACTGTTGCTGTGCCAAAGATACTCTCAAGACAGAAAAAGCACTACTTATAGAAAGAGAAAAGGCACTAGCAATCTGTATGTATGACAAAAGGCTTATTTCCAGAATTCATTGAAAAAAACCTTATAGGTTATTTCTAGCTGTAATCCCCAAAGCCTCACGCACTGGTAAGTGGGGCTTTGGGGAGGTGACTAGATCATGGAGGCATGATATTCATCAATGGATTCTCCACTGATGAGTTCATAGCTAAATGTGATGCTGGGAGAAGGTGAGCCACGGGGGCGTGGCCCAGAAGGATACCATCTCCCACCCTCCTCCCCAGTCTCTCTCTGCTTCCTGCTCTCACACCATGAGCTCTTTCTCTTCTGCTCATGCCATCCTGTTGAGGAGCTAGCCAACTATGGACTGAAACCTCTACGAATTGTAAGCCAAAATAATTTCCACCTTACATTGTGAATATTGGGTATTGTGTCTCAGTCAGCAAGGAGAAAGTAACTAAGGCACTTCGATAATTCAACAACTGATTAAAAACACTTCAAGTCTGGACATATAGCTTAGTGCTACAGTGCTTGCCTAGCATGTAGAAGGCTATGGGTTTTGATCTCAGCACAACAAATACATACAAACAATTTTAAAACATGTAAAGGATATGAATAGACATATCCAAAAAGAACACACATAATTGGATAATAAGCACATGAAAAATACATTCAACATCATTAGCTATCCGAAAAATGCAAATAAATTAACACATTACTTCACATCCACTAGATTGCCCATAATTTTTTTAAAAAAGGAAAATCAAAGTGATGGTTGGCAAAAATGTGGAAAAGTTAAAACTGTATACACTGCTAATGAAGATATAAAATGGTAGACAGTGAAAAATAACTGTCAGTTCCTCAAAAATTTAAATATACTATTATCATATGACCCTGTAAGTCTATTTCTAGGTATGTTACCAAAAGAACTTTCATGTTCATTTAAATACACATATATCAATGTTCATAGAAAAATTACTTATAATAGCCAAAAAGTAAAAATAATACAAACTTCTATCAGTTTATGAAAGAATATCCATACAATGGAATATTACTCAGTCATAAAAGGAATGAAGTATTATCAAATTCTACTCAATGGATGAACCTAGAAAATAGGATATCAAATACAAGAAACCATATAGCAAAAATGGTGTTTTATTATCTTATATCTGCAAAATACTAGAATATATAAATCCATACGATTGAAAGTAGGTAACAGTTATCAGAGATGGAGTGAGAGGTTGGAGGTATTAACTCTTAATAGTTTCTGAAAGGATTAAAACTTGTATTGAGGTTGAACATAGTAAATACACTAAAAACCACTAGGTATATATGTAAAGTTATAATAAAATAATTTTAAAATGTGAATTTTACACAAAGTACATCATAATGAAATAATTTAAACAACTGAATTAGGCTAATTTGGCATGTTTTACATTTAAGGCCTTTTTATTAGGAAAAAATGACTTACTTAAGGTAGTTCAAATATTTTTTCTTCTATTTTACCTTTAACAAATTAGCACACCTTGAAAAATATAAACTCAGAAAATGTTTTAGAGTTCAACTGTTATGCAATCTGGATTATCATGCTTAACATAAAATATTTACATTTAAATTAAGACTAAAGAGCTCAGTTACCTGAGTTATTTGAGAGAAAACCTCCTTTTCCAAAAAAAAAAGGGGGGGTGGTATCCAATGCCTTACACAAATGCTTCATGCTCCTGTTCATCATATATTCTCTTTGACCAAATTTCTGCTACTGGAATTAACTAATATTCTATGTACCACTGTGACATGCCAAACCCAAATTTCAATAATTAATCTATCAAACAAATTTTCATTTTATAACCAGAATGTTCTCTAAAATATGAACATATAAAAAACTGACACATTTTAAAACACATATGCAGTAATGTCATTTTTAAAAATGTTACATTTCACTGAAGAAAAAAATTTTTGCACTATTCTAATAAGGCTCCAAGTACATACCAAGTTCCTAAGATTATTCATATGTAATATACAAAGTCTGTAACATAGTAGTTAACCTTATCCATGGTTTACTTCCTGATGTTTTAGTTTCCTGCAGCCAATCATAACATTATATTACCTCACAGTATCGTAAAAAGAATGTGAGTACAGTATTTTGAAAGAGAAAATCATCATTTATGTAGCATTTACCACAACATATTGCTGTAATTGCTTTATTTTATTATAACTTGTTACTGCAGTTAATTTATACATTAACTTTAAAATAGTTAAATATGTCCATTAAAAACTACAGAATATTAAAAGGTTTGATACTACCCACAGATTCAGGCACCAATAAGGGTGTCAGATACATACCTTGCAGATAAGGAAGATCTATGGTACTAGATTATTTTCATCCTCCTTACATCTCTGCTACATAAGGTTTTACTATGTACATGTATTAACAAATTCAAATGCATATAAAAAGTTAAAGTTTTATTTTTTCATTCATTGAAATATGTATTTATATCCAGTAGCACTTAGAGTGAGTCCTACTTACTGATGCAGAGATTGATGCAGATTCTGGAGACCTAATTGTCCCAGCAATTGAATGACGAATAGACTCAAGTTTGGATAGTCTCTCTTTTTTTTCCTGGAGAGATTAAGAAATAAGCCTTAAGTAACAGTACTTAGGTATCTATCCTGTCACACTTCTTGACTTTAAGGAAAACATATAACCAAATACATATGAACTCTTTAGCATTTTACTTTCTTGAAATTTGGGTAAAACAAAGAAATTCATAAAGATGAGAGAAAACAAGAAATGCAAAGAAAATTCCAGAAAAACCAAGTACTTAAAACACCATACCAAAAAAAAAAAAAAAGAGAGAGACATAAGCTATAAAGAACTAGCACAATATAGAATATTTCAGATAATACTAGTTATGAGAAATTTTCAAATAATAAAACTAGGAAGAAGGAATTTATATGGGACACACTTTTTATAAGTAAATTACACTTAAGTACTTGATACGTTTTCCAAAGATTCACATGATGATGATGACAATATGATAATCAAAATGCTGATGTTAGTAGGGGGAAAGGGGCAATAATAAGGAAATAAGGGCACAACTGCCACTAAGAAAAGTCAATCTAGATTGCCATTTGTTTCAGGATGTATAGTTTTGAATATCATATCACAATGAAAGAAAAACACAAATTTTCCTTAAAATTTCAAATCTTCAGATCCATTTTAAAATCCTAAGTGAATGGAGCATGTAAGAGGGAAGAAAACAAGACAAAAGGAAAAAAATGAGGATTAGGTGGTAAGAAGAAGAACAGAAAACATGTGTGGGAGTATCTAATGGAAGCACTGTCAATTTGCCAAGAACTATACTTCAATGGTTAAATCAGTAGCTGACAAAAGAGCATGACATTCTACTGTCAACTGCAGCATCTCCATGTTTCATCAGGAGTGATGCTCAACTTTAAGGTAAAAGAAAAGCAGTAGGACATAAATAACACCCTTTGTTTCCTTTGTCTCCAATTCCTAGGGTGTCTCTTAAGTAGTAAATACAAACCTTCTTGACCACATTTTACAGTGTAGTTTCTGAGATTCAATTTTAACCTCTCTACCGCCACTTCATCAATTTTTCTAACATTTGCAATACTAATGGTTCTGATTATTTCATATTTGTGAGAGTGTTCGTAACACATTTGTTTTCTTTTCTGTTTTTTTTTGAAACCCCCTAAACCCCAGTTTTTAAAACTTTACTTTTTATAGATTATACTTTAGCCACACTTTTTGTTTTTGTTTTTGGTATTGGGGATCAAACTCACTACCATGCACTCAACAGGCAGGTGCTTATTCTGCTGAGCTAAACTCCCGGCCCCTAGATAATATTTTAGATGCCTAGTTAGCAGTTAGATCTCCGTGAGTGAACTTTGGCCAAATCCCCAAAAAGTCTCCTCTTCTCCCTTAATTGGCCATAAAAACTAAGGAAAGAGAAACAAATGAGTTTATTTCAAGGCACCAAACTGCCTGGAGCCCACATTCTGTGTGTCAATTAACGAGATGTTTAAGAAGGTCTTGTAACATTCCAAAGCAATGACAGTGCTAAAAGAAGGTGGTATCCATGGAAACTCCCTGACCTTGTAAACTCATACAGGGATTTATAATAGAAGGGAACAAAGTTAGTCAACACCAGCCAGTCAGTAGCCAGGAGTTCCACTGGTGAAAACTGAATGACCACTGCAGTTTGAAATAAACCTCATTTGTTTCTGGAACTCGGTGTCATGTGGATATATTTCTTGAGAATACCATAACATGCTGGGGGCCCCAGCGAGATTGCCCACAAGGCCACTCTCCTTTGAAGGGGACAGCAGTGTCAGGCAGCCAATACCTGTGTAGCAGGTGCCCTGGCTGGTTTCAGCCAGCTTCCGGAAATGGCTGAGGGAATGGATGCCTACAGCCATGAGATGGAAACAACTGAGTGCCTACCCCCAGACCAAGGTATGCACTTGTAATTTGGTTTTGTTTTTCTAATTAGGCAACTGGCATATGGCTCACTCAGGAATTTGTTTTGTTTTGTGCCAAGATTTGGTTGTTTGTTGAACCTGAGAAGAGCGTAGGATACTACACAATTTGCGTGTTTGTCAGGGAACTTCCCCAAGTTTGCTCCAAATTTCGAGATCATGGTGGAGAAGAGTTTCTCCCAGTCATCTGTCTTTTATGTGTCTGTCTCCACATCAAGCACATGGGTTTCCAGACCACTGCCAGCAGAGGTCACTGTCATCATCCTTTCAAGCTTTACTCACCTTGGACTTTCCCTTTTATTTCTAATCTGGCAGGTTGAGAAAAAGGAAGGGAGATGGGACTCACTGAAACAGACTGCAAGATTCATGTGTTTGTTAGTTGTGGTAACAACAGGATCTGCTGGGAATAAACCAACTGTACTGCGATACATACTCAGCAATTTTGATAAATTCAAATGTGATAGTGATTATGGGGTTAAGATGAGGAAAAGGAAACTCTGGGCATTTCGCAAATTTCAATGGCCTGCCTTTGAGGTAGGTTGGCCTGCAGAGTGAACACTCGACCTTCACATAGTCAATAGGGTGCGGAATGTCGTTAGCAGAAACTCAGGGCATCCAGATCAGTTTCCACATATCAATTCCCGGATAAAAGTAGTTCACATGTCCTCTCCCTGTCTTAAAATATGTGTTTGGAGTCTTCCTAAATGGGTGCTGGTAATTCAGGAGACTGTTTAATGTGAAGCTACCTGTAGTGACTTCATCAACAGAGATGAAGCTGTTGACTCCTTTCGCTCCATCTCAGCCTCCAACTTATCTGACATCTCCGGGGACTCACAGTGGAGTGGGCAGAACCAGATTCCCAAGACACCGAGTTCCACTCAATGGGTCCAAAGACAAGAGGGAGTGCACAGCATATGGAGCCTGACTTCTGGCAAACTGAGTTCCGCTCAAGGGGTCCAAATATGAGAGGGACTGTGCAGAATGTGGAACCTGAGTTCTGAGACACCAAGTTCCGGGCAAGTTCTGATTTGGGAGGGACTATGTGGTACACAGATGAAAGGGCACCACCCACTCTAGAGGAAGTGTCATCCTCCTTGCCAGTTTCTGTTTTGTCTCTCTGGAATAGGGCAGTGCCAGGACCTGAAGGGGCAGTTCAGACCACTTTCATTTACACCTCTTTCAGCTCTAGTGAATTGTGTAACTGGAAAATTCAAAATCCCCCATTCACTGAGCAGCCACACACTCTGATTAATTTAGTGAAATCAGTGTCTAAGACTTAGTGCCCCAATTGGATTGACTGTCAACAAGTGCTTTATACCATATTCACCTCAGAAGGAAGAGACAGAATATGGAAGGAGAAAGAAGACTCTGTAGAAGTAGAAGGGCCAAGAACACCACAGGAAGTTACAGACAGGCTGAGATGTGTGCTGCCCCAGGAAATGCCAAACTGAAATCCCAACACAGACGATGGGATTAAGAGTTTGAATGATTACCATGTGGCTTTACTGAAAGGCCTTCATTCAGCAGCCCAGCAACCCACAAATTTGACAAGGGTGGGAGAGGTATGCCAGGCGGCCAACAGGAGCCCTTCTGCTTTCCTCAAGTACCTATGGGAAGCTTACTGCATGTTCACACCATATAATCCCCTACAGGCTAGAAATGCTCGTGTGATGAACATGTCTTTTATTATATCACCACAAACTGCAGAGATGGGGCAGATTTGCTGAAATGACTATAGCTCAGTTAATAGAGGTAGCTCCACGGGTTTACAACAGTAGAAAGGACAGAAAGTGGAAAGCTCAGGAGGAACAGATAAAGATGATGTAAGCAACTCATAAGAAGGAGGCATAGGCAGGGGCAGAAGTAAGAAACAAGATGGGAAGCGATCCCAACAAGGAGGGAGACGTGTCCTATTGAAGTCAAACCAGTATGTCTACTGCAAAGAGATGGTATACTGTAAGCAGGAGTGCCCAAAGTTGCTACAGAAAAAGAAAAATGAAGTGCTTAGGGTGAATGCAGGGGAAGTTTCAGATTGACAGGGTCATGGGTCCCTGTCTCTGGCCCCCAAGGAACCCAAGTTATCCATGACTTTTGGAGGAAAGTCTGTTCATTTCCTTGTGGATATGGGAGCCATATATCCATAGTCACTCAGCCAGGGGCTCCACTTCTAAGCAAGAAAATAAGTGTACGGGGGCAACTGGCCAAACATCTTATTCTTTTTGCACACCTCAGCAGGTCCACCTTGAATAACAAATGGTTAGTCACTTTTATGCTTATGCCTATCTTTTCCCCTTTCTGGGCCTAGACTTACTTGACAAGCTACGAGCTCAAATTTCTTTCTCTCCCTCAGGAATCATCCTGACTACCAGAGAAGTGTTTCCTTCTGCTGAAGCTGATGTTTTGGTTGTAACCTTTCCTTAAAGGAGTAATACTGCCTCAGCGAGCTAGACAAGAGTGGACTCTTGTTGGGTGACCATGAACTCCCTTAGTGGACTCAGCAATTTCCTCTAGTTTTGGAGAAAGACAACTCCCTGGGTTTGGCAGTCCACATACCTCCTATAGTGGTAGAATTGGTGGGGCATACTAAGCAAGTATGCTTAAGACAATATCCTATGACAATGGAGGCATGGAAGGGGATTAAATACCACATAGAGAAGTTACTTGATGCAGGAATATTAAAAGAATGCCAACCCCCTTGGAATATACCATTCCTACTTGTGCAAAAATCTGGAACCAATGAATACAGACCAGTCCAGGTTCTTCAGGCTGTGAATAATACAGTCACCACTTTCACCTTATACCTCTGAATCCCTATACCCTGCTTATCCTACTCCCACCTAGTCAAACTTGGTATACTCTATTAGACTTGAAAGATGCCTTCTTTTGTGTTCTTTTGTCAGCAAGTTCCCAAGAAATATTTGCATCTGAATGGGAGAAACTCGACAGGGGACAAAAAATGTCAGTTAACCTGGACAAAGTTTCTCCAGGAATTCAAGAACTCTCCCATGATATTTGTGGAGGCCTTCTCCATAAACCTATCTCTTTCTGAGAAAGTCATGAAATCTCCCTATTACAGAACGGAGATGTCTTGTTTTAGGCTGCAGAATTGTATGAACT